CCTCCACCCAGAGTAGCTATGGCCTCCTAATCGCGATGGCCTCCACCGCACCGTAGGAGCAATGGCCTCCACCCTAGTAGCGATGGCCTCCACCCTTAGAGCGATGGCCTCCACCCTAGTAGCGATGACCTCCACCCTAAGAGCGACGGCCTCCACCCAGAGTAGCTATGGCCTCCTACTCGCGATGGCCTCCACCCTGAGAGCAATGGCCTCCACCCTAGTAGCGGTGGCCTCCACCCTAAGAGCAATGGCCTCCACCCTAGTAGCGAGCCTCCACCCTAGTAGCGATGGCCTCCAACCTAATAGCGATGGTCTCCAACCTAAGAGCGATGGCCTCCAACAAGAGTAGCTATGGCCTCCTAATCGCGATGGCCTCCACCCTAAGCCTCCACCCTAGTAGCAACGGCCTCCAGCCTATTAGCGATGGCCTTCACCCTCGTAGCGATGGCCTCCAACCTAATAGCGATGGCCTCCATCCTAGTAGCGATGGCCTCCACCCTACCTCCAACCTAATAGCGATGGCCTGCACCCTAGTAGCGATGGCCTCCACCCTAAGAGCAATGGCCTCCACCCTAGTAGCGATGGGCCTCCAACCTAGTAGCGATGGCCTCCAACCTAGTAGCGATGGCCTCCACCATAGTAGCGATGGTCTCCAACCTAAGAGCAATGGCCTCCAACCCAACAGCGATGGCCTCCAACCCAACAGCGATGGCCTCCACCCCAGTAGCGATGGCCTCCAATCTACGCGATGGCCTCCACCCTAGTAGCGATGTTCTCCAACCTGAGAGCAATCCACCCTCGTAGCGATGGCCTCCAACCTAATAACGATGGCCTCCACCCTAATAGCGATGGCCTCCAACCTAATAGCGATGGCCTCCACCCTAGTAGCGACGGCTTCCAACCTAATATAGCGATGGCCTCCACCCTAATAGCGAGGGCCTCCACCCTAATAGCGATGGCCTCCGCCTTAGTCTTAGTAGTGATGGCCTCCCTCATGCACAAATGTGGTACAGTAGACCTCTTGGAGCTGTTCAAAAGACAGCCGGTGCGATTCCCAACATTCCGATTTACACACACGAAATCATCACCCTAGAAAAGCTGCTGGAGCTCCAATAATGTCCACACCAGCCACAGGTGGCTGCAGGGTTCACGTGTTATGGATTTGTGCATCCGGCTGCGTATCTTCATGTGTCCTGAGTCGAATATCCCGGGTGAAGTGTTGCCGGGGGGAATGCCCATCATTAACCGAGGCGAACACCGGTGAAGCCAGGTTCTAACCGACCATGGCAGGTGACCCTTTGCCAGGGTGAGTTGCTTTCCGAGCAGGACGACGATTTTGCAGTTTGGATTGCAAAAAGATTGGTGATGCCGTGCCCAGTAGAATCCAGTACACCACGAAAACTTTATTCGAGTAGCAACCGACGTTTCATATCGTTTTCATGACGTTTCGGAGCCATGTCAATCGGAAGGGTCTGGGAGGAGGATCCTGGGAGGAGTTGAACCGCGCTACCCGGTGAGCGAAACATGCGTTTGGCAGAATTGAGGCCTGCGACAAGATCACCAGCGCTGAGAAATGTGCCAAGCGCTACGAGCGTTCCGGCAAAAGTGACGTTTACCTTCAATGTGTACCAAGCGCGGCCGGCAAAGGCGGGGTCCCCGAGCAGAGCTGCAGAGCTGCAGAGCTCCGCAACGAGATCGGACGAGAAGTTGCGAGAAATGTTCGCCAAGAGGTCGCAGTGGTCTCTCCGGATATTTGATCACTTGTGTAAAACATGTGGGAGTGCTCAAAGCCGTAAGCCGCATTGGGGACACCACGTCAAGCGACACGACAAAGAACCCCCAAGATGTGGAATTGAAGCTGATAGAAAACGCTGCCGGCATGCCGGGAAGAGATAGGAAGAGGATGTTGACATTTTCTCCCATGTGAAGAGGTCAGTGTCTCCAAGATACTTGCAGTCAAGACCCAGGACTTCAGAATCATCATTTGTGGGGAGGTCGGCCTTCCTGGAAGTATGATTATACAGCGTGCAGAAATATTCAGGGGGACCTCTGCGCAGCAATGCCATGTTTGAAGGTTTGCCCGTTTCAGGTGTCACCCCTCCTGTAAAATGCTTTCGTGCTCCAGACGTTCTTCTGCCTACTACATGCCACGGTGGCATGTCGGGAGGCACCCATCCCATCCGCCCAATTCGGTTCCCGTAACCCTTGGAACTCGACCCTTCGAGCCTTTCGACCTACCGAGCCTTCCGCAGCTTTTCGCAGGCAGTGCTATCATCAACTGCCTCGCCAGGGAACATTGCGTGCCCCGCTGAGGAGTCCGAGGCAAACGAACGAACGCTCGGCGGAGAGGAGGTCGCGCGGCCGTTGGGATGTGGATGGGGTCTCCAGGTCAGCATGCAGTTTGAGTCTTGTTGGACCAGAAGCGCGAAAAAACCTCAAAAATGCTCAAACTCAGGGTTAACGGTGATACGAGCAATTGCTCGGGCCGTGATCTCTCCAGAAGTGTTCTCTTTCTTTCTTAGATGTTTGCTGCACTTGGACGACCAATGCGATCCTAGATTGGGGCTTTGATATCTCCAATTGGAGGTCATACTACTGTAACATGGGATGTAAATGCAGTTTAGATAGTGTTGGTTTACACGATATTCTTGGCAAATGTTGGCTCTGTTCTGAAGCACTCCAGAGTTGGAGTCACGTAATTCATTACAGCAGGATTGTTTGAGGATGTTTAAGGTAGGAGGTTGGCCCCTACTGATTTTAGTTATCAATGTGGCTGAACCCATTCTATTTTGGCAGCCCTTCTTCTCTTTCTTGGTCCCGTTGGCCTTTTCAACGTTGCGTTTTCGATCCTTTTCTTCTTTTTTTGCTTTCGTTGGTCTTCTTCGGGTTGTCTAAACCGCCCAAACAACGGAGGGGCCCGCATTGCGTCGGCGGTTCCCCGCGGGCAGGTGAAGTCGAGGCGGTGGCGGATCCGTTGGCAATGGTTTGGCTGCTGTTGTTGATGACGAGGATGACAACGACGATCATCGTATATAAGCATGAACGGATGGTGGTGTTGATGATCATGACATAGGATGTCGATGATGATGTGAAGGCTGCTGTTGTTGTTGTTGTTGGTGGTGGTAATGTGTGTTGTTCTTGTTGGTGGTGATTGTTTTTGTTGTTCCTCTTGTTCTTGTAGTTGTAGTTGTGGTAGTAGTTGTTATTCTTATTGTTGTTGGTTGTGATTGTTGTAGTTGCAGTTGGTCCTGCTCTTGTTGTAGTTGTAGCTGGAGTTGTGTATAGTTTGTTCTAACTTCTATTGCTGCTGTTCTTGCAGTTGGAGATGTAGCCGTTCTTATTATTACTATTATTTGTTCTTTTCCAGCTGTAATTGTTGTTCTTCTTGTTGCTGGCGTAGTTGGAGTTGTACAAAGCGGTTCATGTTGTTGATCTAGTTGTTCTTGGTCTTGCTCTTGCAAGTGTAGTTGTAGCTTTCAGATGTAGTGCTAGGCATTGCTTGGAGTTCTAGTCGTTTCTTTTGGAGTTCCTCTCGCCGCTCCGGCTGCTCCGATTCATCGGAGACGCGAAAGGCAGCGAACGGGGTTCTTCCGTGTTGGTTGGAACCAACAAGCGAAAGTGGAGAAAAACGATGGGCAAGCGAAAGTGTTTGGACCATCAGTTGGACCATTCCATGACGTGTTTCTGAAAAAGGACGTCCCGTTAAGACCATCCCGGACGGTCTTTTCTCGCTAGTACGCACTTTCTGTTGGCCACGAAATAGTTACTGTCGACTTAAAACAAACATGATAGCTGTGTTTCTGCAGCTTGCGCTGGCCAGCCCTCTAGCGGTTTTTGATGGTCGGATCAGGATCTCTGCAAAAAGTGTGCCCCTGCCAGTCTTGCAATATTGAACTTAATTTTTGATGGACAGTACCTCCCAAAGTAACTGCCAGAAGCCATTTGTGGAACATTGCTCCACCTTATTTTTCATATTTCAGTCTGGGTCTTTTGACGTGTCCCTGTCGACGGAGTTTGAACTGTTCACACAAGGATTTGCCCAGGTGCGAGTAGGAGGACTTTGAACAACCGACCTCCTTTGAATATGTGTTCATGCATTTTAAGTGTGTGTACTGGTGCTTGTTTGGTAATTAATAATAAGCATGCACATTGTCCATTAATTGTTAATTCCCAAGTGCTAGTTTGGACGACAATTGGTTGAAGTCTCAATAGGCTCGCCTCATGTTCAAAGAGTCTTCGTTAATGTGTGTTCAACTCCGTCTATTTGCGAGTGTGTTCTTCTTGAAAATTAGTGAAATAAATGAAGAAACATCAATTGATAATGAGGAGCTTTGCCAAATGCAAGAGGAGTGATTGGCCCCTACCCGTACCCAGGAGACATAGTCATAGTGAGCAGCATTATTCATGCTTGTTTTGCATATGTGTGTTTCCTAGTGGTGAATCCTTACTCTTGGTGGCTAGTTCCTTGTCAGCTTGTCCTTTGCTTCTGATTTACACCATCCTGGTTGTCATTTATAGATGAGATTAGATGAGTATATATCCAAGATTGCAGATTGAAGAACTCCCATGTTGAAGTGAATCTCCACAACAAGTCCTGTCCTACAACTCCAGTCCTGTGCTGATTTTCAATCGGCTTCGCATGTGCTCAAAAAAGCCTCAAAGGGCAGTAGGTAGACCCTTTACGGCGCAGGGGCAGTGCGGCAGCGGGGGGAGGTGGCCTTTTTAAAAAAGGGACGTATTTTTTCCCAGCTCACCTTCGTACAGAGCACGAATTTCGACAGTCGTATGTCAGCCCATTGGATCCCATTGGGGATTTTTTGCGATGCACTGTTTTTTGCATATACAGCGCGACCGATAGGTCTTTAGACATACACGAAAGATGGTTCAGACTGATGTAAAACGGTATTCTTTCAACGAACGTTCCGACGCAACAACCCCTAATAAACGTGCCATACGTGCATGTCGCCACAGTTCCGTACCGTTTTGGTCGTTGGTCTAAGGGGATGATCCTTCCCCACATGAGGATTGACCATCGCACAAACAATGTGTAGTTGCTTTTTGCATAACTAATAAAAGCTAATCACTCTCCCCAGAACTAACATGGAAGTGGAAAACCACCTGTTTGTAGTGGATTTCATAGTCGTCCAAGGGGTCGGATGTCATTCTCCACTTCCATGTTAGTTCCAGAGAGTGTACAAAACTTCGAGTGGATTGCCTTCCGTTTTTCTTCTTTTTTTTTCGAAAAAGACCGCTCCCTGAACCGACGGAGACCGCCAGGAGATGGGGATGAGACGGTGCCATGCGATTCTTTCGCGCCCAAAACGTGCGATCTGAGCACTGCAAGAGCGTCCGGGCTTCCGGACAGAGACCATTGAGAGCTTGTGGCACCATTTTCAAGATTGCGCGGAAGAGGTACTCGAGCACAGGCTACGTCGGTGAAATTTGATCTGCCACCTTTTGACAATGTGTCTTCCTTTGTCAGGCGCCCCACAGATTGCTGCCGTTGGGAGCCAAAGTGAAAAGCCATGCATGGCCTCCAACCTAGCTAGCAAGAAGCTAATAGCGAGCGTTGGCTGGGAGGCAGGGCGTCGTTTGTCGTGCTGCACACTAGAAGCTCGCGCTCGCGCTGAACTCCAAGGCGACACGCTTCATGCCAACGACCCTTCGCACGAAGAAGCCCTCACAGGTGCTGGTCCCCAAGATACGGAAGAGACAGAAGAATCGGATGGAACCACATCGCGGTTGGAAATGTTTCAGACAGAAGTGTCGGACTTTTTCGGACTTCCATGTGGTGATTCTCTGTGATTCTGAGTAGAAAAAGAGGAGATAGAAGCTCAGATATGATAGAAGATAGAAATAGATAGGAGAAGCCTTCTGTGTGCCTCTTTTTTCGGGCCTAATTGGGCCTTTCTCGTGCCATCGGCCTGGTGCCTGCGCAGGTGGCTGGTGGAGTCTTGCAGGCATCGTCTGCTTCCTTGAGCCAGGAGCCGCTTCCGGAGCTGTCATACAGATTCCAGAATAGCCTTACTTCCTATAGATCTGCACTCTGTGTGGCAGTTCATTTGATTTTAGATCTTGCCTTGAGGAGAATCGGAAGAAGGTCCTTCTCAGAGAGGTTGGGGGTATTGGCAGCAGCCGGTCGCTGACATGAAGCAAAAATCCACTGCCGGTGTGTTTTTTCGACTTGTTTGCAACTTGTTTTATGTAGCGAAAACCTATGCCATGTCACTAAAGACAGATCCTTTCAGACCACCCTTGTGAACAGAGGCTGCCTTGCATTCACAGCCCGGATTTTGTACAGTCGCAGTTTGAAAAGTTGTGGCAACGTCTCCCCAAGCACTCGTGGCTCTAAGTTTGAGTCACCACAATCCGGTCAGGCACCCAAGGTTGCAGAGAAGCTCGATATTGAGGATGCGTTCCAGGACCGCTTGGATTGAATTGAAAGAACCATTGCCAATATCGCATGATCTTCAAATTCAACTTTGGTAGAAAAACGATTCAGATTCTGAAAATTGTGCAATTATAGGATTTTATGCATCAATTGGATTAAGAAAATATTGTTTAGTTTGAAACAAAAATATGTCTATTTATAAATCATAAATATAATCAAAATATGTTATGTTGATTGAATATCTATAAATTTAGATATAATATATATGGGAGTTGATCGAAAACCCCGTGTAAGGAGTTTTATATAAAACAGCCTTTCAGATGTTGTTAGAACCATCCGCGAAAGATTCGCGATGAGGTTCGCGAAAGTATCTGTCTTTTTCCGCGAAAGATTTATCGAAGGTCATCGCTTTCATACGTTTTCCTTTCTAAGGGATAACAAAGAATAGAAATATAAGGCAATCTTCCGGCAGAGCCGGTGGGCGGAAGTGTCTCCATATGTTACAGACTAACGAATTGAAGCCTTTAGTGCGTAAAGGATTCTCCGATTCCTGTCCTTACTGTCATAGACAAGCAACCTGAGTGGGCGCAGCCCTGACAGTGAGGTAACGACCTGTAGCTGCTCTGACGGGCTGTGCAGATGTTTGCATACGGCTTCCCCGGGAGAGCGCTAGTGAAGTTTCGCGAATGTGCCGCTAAAGTCCAGGTTCCTAGCTTGAGACCCCTTAACATTCCCCAAGCTGCATTACCCTGTGTCGGTAGCTGGCACGAGGATTGGGTTGAGTTGCGCCACAGATGTTGCAAGTGACCCTGAGTAGTTGGGGAAACACTCAATCTTCTATTGTGGTCATACTGCAAGATGTCTGTCCCTATTTTGTGATACTATAACATGTTCCGGCTCATGTTAGCTAGACATGGTTGT